AGAAATTTTACAATCATATCTCTTGAGTTAAGTGTATCTTTATACATTATGCTGGGCATTAATTGGGCCCTTTCAGGTTAGAAACTCATATCTTTCCATACTGAAATTTTTAAGAATGATTTATTTTCTTATCCCTTTTTTCTGTTTTCTCTCATTTTAGAAATCATTTTATTTGAAAGTTGAACCTCTTGTCCTTTAATGTTTCTTTCTTTCCTGTTATTCATCTTTCTGCTTTATTTTCTGGGAGATTTTCTCATCTTTATTTTTCAGTTATCTACTGAGTTTTTAATACTGGCTTCAAATTTTTTTAATTACAAGAACTTTTTTCTCCTATGAATTTTTCTTTTAAAAAAAGTCCTATTCTTATTTCATGGATGCAATATCATCTGAGAATATTAATATAGGATTATTGAGGAATAAGAACATTCTAAACTTGTGGGTGGGCCGTATTGATTGTGAAGTCCCTTAGAGTAATCTGCCTGCGCCATTTTATTGATGAACCCCTGATATCTCATCATTGGATCTTTCCTCTTTAACTCGTCAGGCTTTCATGAAATATGTTTTCCTGTTTCCTACTTGCAAGGTATAGGACTGGCTGTTGAAAGACCTTTCTATTGGGCATTGATTAAAATAAACTGACATGGGAACAAATTATATCTGGCAATAGACACTGGAAAGCAAATATTCAGACTTCCCTGGCAGGCTATAGTCCTGGCACTTTTCCCAAATGCAAATAATCAAGCACCTGGCAAATTCTGGAGGAGATAAACTTGTTACATAGTTACAGTCAGGACTGGAACCCTACTTCCTTGATTCAAAGTTTCACTGTTGCTAAATGAGGCAAGGCCATCTTGCTTTAGCTCCTTGTAGGCTGAGCCAAGGAAGCCCAGGTGAGCCAAAGTATTTATATGTTTGCTGAATTACCCCCTTTTGAAAGTGCTACTCTTGCCCTCAAGTGTGCCTGGTGTTGATCATTCCTGGAACCGTCAGTTTCATGAGTAAACTTCCCGACTTCTTCCTGGATTAGGAAGGGCAGATCTCAGCCCAGTGGTGTGATGGAGGAAATTGAGAGAACTATTCTGCTTCTCATATAGAAGTTCAGCCAGCACCTCTTGCTTACAGGCCTGTGCTCAAGAGAGGTTTCCAGAGATGCCTGATGCTACCATTCCCTCAGTTTTTAAGGGTTCGGTGACATAAATTGGTTGTTTCTCAGTTTTTCCCTCTGTTGGTTTAGGCTTCAGCTCTCTTGAGTCTGCCAAGTCAGTTACCATTCACTCACTTCCACACCAACTTCCAATATTTTATTGTTGTTATCTTTACTTCTGTTATCTTTGTTCTCATGCGTTTATGCCTTTAAAAATCCATTTAGTGTTATTCCGGTGAGATTTGGGGAAGGAATGCAAGTCAGTGCCTTGAAATGCACTATCTCTATGCAGTTGTACCCTTGCCTTTTTTTTTTTTTTTAAATCAGTTTCTTAAAGGGAGTCCTTGGAAAATTACTAGTCTGTATCAGCATTTTCTTTTTACATAGCAAGAAATTCTGAGCCCAGAGAACTGATGTGACTAGCTGAAAGTTACACAGGCATGGCAGTCAGGACTGGACCTTGCTTTCTTGATTCGGAGTTCACTCTTCTCTTCCTATCCTGTTATTACAAATTCAAAGGGCAGATAGCCATAATCCTTTTATCTTCCTTCTGCTTATCAGATAATAAACATTAATTAACATGCATTTTGAGTTTTCTTTTTGCCTCTGTTTAGCATAAGCTAAATGTTTTTGTTTGTTCACTCATTTATTCATTTTTTCACTCACTTATTCAATGGATTTTTTAAGCTATTATTAAATGCCAACACTATTTTTTCTTTTTTGAGACGGAGTTTGGCTCTTGTTACCCAGGCTGGAGTGCAATGGCGCGATCTCGGCTCACCGCAACCTCCACCTCCTGGGTTCAGGCAATTCTCCTGCCTCAGCCTCCTGAGTAGCTGGGATTACAGGCACACACCACCATGCCCAGCTAATTTTTTGTATTTTTAGTAGAGACGGGGTTTCACCATGTTGACCAGGATGGTCTCGATCTCTTGACCTCGTGATCCACCCGCCTCAGCCTCCCAAAGTGCTGGGATTACAGGCTTGAGCCACCGTGCCCGGCCAAATGCCAACACTATTCCAGGCACAGTAAAACAGCCATGAGCAACACAAAGTCCTTGCTGTCATGGAGTTCCCATAGCTTCAGAGGAAGAGAATAACCAGACTGACTGATTATAAGCATATTGGCTCAGGCAGAAGCTCAGCTACAGGCACATATGCCAACCTTTAGTAAAGCAATGACCTGGTGAACTGTGTCACAAAAATGGAGAACTGGCAAGGGAAGTCTCAGTGGAGAATGAATAAATTTTTTTTTTTTTTTTTTTTTGAGATGGAGTCTCACTCTATCCTCCAGGCTGGAGTGCAGTGGCGTGATCTCGGCTCACCACAACCTCTGCCGCTTGGGTTTAAGCGATTCTCATGCCTCAGACACCCAAATAGCTGGGATTACAGGTGAACACCACCACGACTGGCTAATTTTTTTTTTTGTATTTTTAGTAGAGATGAGGTGTCACCATCTTGGCCAGGCTGGTCTTGAACTTCTGACCTCATGATCACCTGCCTCAGCCTCCCCAAGTGCTGGGATTACAGGCGTGAGCCACCATACCTGGCCGGAAGAAGTGTTTCCAATCTGAAGAATTAAGTTTCCTAGAGACTTCTCATGGAAACTGAGGGGTGGGTGGTTGAGAAGAAGGGGGAAGGCATACGAATGGCCAGATGCTCTGGGAGATGCTTTGTTTTTTGAGAAAAAAAAGTGACACCGACAGACACCATGAAAGCAGAAGGCACTCATCTTAACCTCTGTGTTTAACAGTTTTTTAAAATAATGATATGAGCATTTGAGTGAAAAGAGAGTGGATCCTGCCTTCTTTATAGTCACTTTGGGGTTCTCATCTGTTCCAGCTGCATCTTTCTGATCCCTGGGACTTGGTCTCTTGGTTCCTACCTTATCACACCTTAGCCTGTCTCCTTGCTGTTTCTCTTTTCATCTGGGCTAGGCTTGGGAACCTGGAGAAACCTCAGCCTCTGAACACATTGGCACCTCCAGAGATGCTCCTAATGAAAACCTCTTACCCGACTCAGGTGGACTTTTGGGTATGCACTTGACTTTTGCTTTAAGAACACATGGTGTGTTCCACGGAGGGTTGTTGAAACTGCCTGACAGGTTGGGACAGGCACACCTAATTCAAAATCTCAGCATCTTATACTCCTAGTTGTTTTTCTACTTACACATAGGAGTAGCCTTAAAGTTCAAAAAGCTTTTTACACATTGCTTGTTTTAAGTACCCTCATCCTAACTAACAACCTGAGAAGTTGGGATTGTCTCTGTGTTTACTAAAGGGAAACACAATTAATACACCTACTCAGGTAGCAAGTCTAGCCATTGAGCAAACTAGAGCTTCAAGTCCAACTTCTTTTTTTTTTTTTTTTTTTTTTTTTTTGAGACGGAGTTTCGCTCTTGTTACTCAGGCTGGAGTGCAATGGTGCAATCTCGGCTCACTGCAACCTCCGCCTCCTGGGTTCAGGCAATTCTCCTGCCTCAGCTTCCCGAGTAGCTGGGATTACAGGTGCGCACCACCATGCCCAGCTAATTTTTTGTATCTTTAGTAGAGACGGGGTTTCACCATGTTGACCAGGATGATCTCGATATCTTGACCTCATGATTCACCCGCCTCGGCCTCCCAAAGTGCTGGGATTACAGGCATGAGCCACCGCGCCTGGCCTCAAGTCCAGCTTCTGACTAGTGGTTGTAGCAGTAGCTGTGGAGGACAGCCTTCCTCCTCCTCCCGATTTCTCCTTCCCTCTTGCTTTTCTTCTTCCTCTTAGTTGTTATCAGACTTTGCATCCTATTCAGGGGCCACAAAGGCAAGGAAGGTAAACACAGAAAACAGAAGTGCAGCTACAAACAGGTTGGTCACAGTGCAGAAATACAGAAAGAAAGCAGTAGGCAGGACATTGTGAAAAGCTTCAGTTCTGGGCATAAGCTTTTCCCATGACTTCTAACAGCATCTAATTCACCCCTCCTGAAGAATTTTGCTGTAAAGGGTCTTTTGCTTGGAGGCTGGGGAGGAATGAATTTTGAAAATGATAAAAAGTGATTAAAGACATCAAATTAAAGGTACTACCATTCACTCTGCTTAAGGAGTGAGCTTATGAATTAATTATAATTAGGATATCAAGAAACTAGCCATTAATTGGTACAAAACTGCATACAACACATAGACCTAGAAGAAAATATCTTTGTTTTCTTTCTGGCATGAAGGAATATTAAGTCTAAAGTATCCCCAGGTATATGGTTTTCAATCCTATGCTTAAGTATCTTCTGAGAAGGAGATTCCATAAATTCCCTGTATAACTAACCACTCCTCATAATCAGCAAGTTCTTTTCTATCTCACCTAAATCCCCTATTCCTTCCATTTAAACTCATTTCTTCATGTTCTGCCCTCCAGGGAGATAAAGAACAGCTGTCTGCTCCTCTTCGTAATAATCCTCATGGACAGTGTTTGCAAATAGTGTCCTTTGGCCTAAATACCAAGATTCCCCTCACCTTTCTTTTTAACTCTTCTGTTGTTTCCCCAGAGCCCTCCCATGTTATTCATATCTTTCTTGAATAGTTTCTTCCCCAGGCCCTGCCATGGTGAAAGACTTAGAGATAAGAATCCAGTTGTAATATAGACGCCAAAGAGGTAGCAAGAAGTCAGATCTGGACAACCCCATGCCAAGCGAAAGAAAACATTCTTCATTAAGAAAGGGGTGGGTTTGGGTTTTGTTTTCTGTATTTTTGTTTTGCTTCTTTTTGTCATCTCCTACTCCACGTCCCGTCCCCGCCCCCCCCCCCCCCGCCCCCCCCGTAGAGACAGGATCTCTTTGTTGCCTAGGTTGGAGTGCAGAGAGCTATGATCTCGCCTCTAACTCCTGGCCTTAGGAGATCCTCCCCCTTCAGCCTCCCAAGTAGCTGGCACTATAAATGACAGCACCTGGCTTTCTTATTCTATTTCTTAAGGCATCCCTGGCAGTATCTAGGCCCAGCCATAGGCTAATTGTGAGATGGGTGGAATTAATCCTTAGTGTCCTTATCCTCAGTGTACCCTCCTCCTCCAGAATATGTTAGGCACCAGATTCCTCTCGCCCCTGCTCATTCTCCCTCCTCTCAAATCTCTGTTCCCTCAACGTGGTTTGAGATTTTAGGAGGAAAGCATAAAGACTAAGTACATTTCCTCTGCTGGCCAAGCTTGATATTTATTTACGAGCAAGGTGCCCTCCTTGAATTTCTTTTATGTGCTAATTGGGCCTACTCTGCTTAGCCACAAGGTCCTCCCTGCCCATCTCCTTTAGGAGCAGCCTGGTTATATTTGTCACCCAAGGGATGTTTTAGAGAAAGTTGGTGCTCCACGAAATCAGAGATCACTGCAATGGAGAGCAGACAGCCGAAGGACCCATCTCAGATAACCCAGGGGTCTCTGGGGGCCTGTTAAGTAGAAGCATCTGCACATTCAACTTTCTTCCTCATAGTGAATTTTTCTGTAGCATCACTTCCATCTGACAGTGAAAAAACTTTTCTTAATTCTGTCAAAAGGTAGGAGTTTTTTAAAAATGTGGTTATAGTGAAAATCTTGCGTCTGACATGTGAAAATAGCCACAGAAGTGGAAAGGATGGTCTGAAGAGGGGACTTTCCATATTTCCCAGCAGGTTCTCAGGCAGGGAGTCACCTTGGCCCATTATTGGATAAAAGTCAATATAATGTTAGGTTAACTTATCCACCTGGTGAGATGCATCCTGCAGTCTTGAGTGCAGAGGCTTCTTTGTTTTGTTTGGGGTTTTATATTGAAGTGTTTTGCATTACCAGGACAAGAGTTTCCAAAATTCGGGAAGTTGAAGAGTCTCCTTAATGGGCACCGATGAAAATAAACTGACATGGCAACAAATTATATTTGGCAAATAGACATCGGAAAGCAGATATCCAGGCTTCCTGGGCAGGGCATAGTGCTGGTACTTTTCCTGAATGTGAATAATCAAGCACAGGGCAAATCCTGAAGGAGCAGACTTGCTCCCTGTTGCTAGATGAAGCCAGGCCTTTTTACTTTTTTTAGCTGCTGTGGGCTGAGCAAACAAAGCCCAGGTGAGCCAAAACAGAAAAAGATGGACTTGCCTCCTGCTTTTCAGATGTATTCTTATTCAGGAAGGAAAATGTATATTTAAAATGTGGTGCATGCATAGCCACATTAGTCCTTCCCATTGGTAATGTGAGGATCCAGGCAGGTATGGACCAACCTGTGGTTTATAAGGGAGCCGAATTCTTCAAGTATATCTAGAGTTGTTTGGGTCTCTGGAGGTTTTTTGTTTTTGTTTTGACATCAGAATTGTTAAGATATTTTATTCTCTTCTAGAAACAAAGCTCCTACTCTGGGGAAAGTGAATTTTTGGCAGAAAGTTATTGCCATGGAGGCAAATTCCCCATCCCTTCTTATATACACACACATTAAGAGTATAGGTCAGCGCTAGGGAGGGTCCAAAATACAGGTTTTCAAAAAAGAACAGCAAAAAACAGTGTTTCTCTGCTTCTTGGGAATATTGACCCTAGTCCCCATCCATCTCACCAATCCCAGAAGAAGAGATAATTAGAGGAAGTATACAACAGGGCCAAACTTCCAACAAGCACATGAATACTTTGAGGTTGATACAAAAGTGTGTATAGCCGTGTGGTTCATGAAATGGGTGACAGGAAAAGCTGTAAACAGACCCAGGGACATGAGCCAGTTCCATATTTTGCAGAACTGCTTTTTCCACAGAGGCTTTTGAGGGGCCCCAAAAAGGGAATGGAAGTAATAGGGCCAAGTTCCTGCACTGGAGGGCAGGGCCTCTGCTCGAGTGTTTTGTTTTAATGAAGCAGCCGGGAGCGTTGCTTATCTCTGGCTGATAGATGTGTGTTTCAGCATGACAGGAAAAGAGGAGGCTCATTCATAAACAGACCTGGCCCTCTGGGGCTTCCCACATGGAAGGGGGGCATGCCGCTTACAAGAAGTTTATGAAGTTTATGCTCTGACTTTTCAAAGTAAATGCAGTGTTTTTTATTGGAGAGCCCTGATCACTTTTCCCTATATAGAGCCATTTTTTGAGGGTTGCACTGAGGCCGGTTTTGCCAAAAAGAAGACTAACTCTAGGGCCTTTTGCACTGTTAAATGCAAACCATGTGTGTGACTTGAGCTTTCCTTCCTCTCCGAAGCACTGCACATTTGGCACGATGAATGGCTTTAGCTAAAATGCAGTGGGGTGTGTAATGAAAAGTAGGATGCTTAAAGTGTTAGGAGATGCTCACGCTGCACCCCACGGGGAACCTCAGCAGGGAAGGGAGGCCATTTGCTGGCAACTGCAGTCCCCATGTGCAAACAGCTAACCCCCTTCCCCAAAGGTTTTCCAATAGCAGCTGTCCCCCACTGCCTTTTCTCAAGTAATTTATATGTTTGGCACACAAGGCTCTCTCTGCTGTAGCTAAAACAAAGTCTAGATTTCACTCCTGTTTTTTTGTTTGTTTTTGTTTTGTTTTGTTTTTTTGAGACAGAGTTCCACTTTGTCACCCAGGCTGGAGTGCAGAGGCACAATCTCGGCTCACTACAACCTCTGCCTCCCAGGTTCAAGCGATTCTCTTGCCTCAGCCTCGTTAGTAGCTGGGACTACAGGCACACACCACCATGCCCAGCTAATTTTTTTGTATTTTTAGTAGAGACGGGGTTTCACTGTGTTAGCCAGGGTGGTCTTGATCTCCTGACCTTGTGATCCACCTGCCTTGGCCTCCCAAAGTGCTGGGATTATAGGCATGAGCCACCGCACCCGGCCTTCACTCCTGTTTTTAACAAGTGCATTCAGAACAAGGCTTCCAAACTTCCAAAGTTCTGTTACTGCAATTTAAAGGCCACACCCTCCAAACCCTATAATATCTTTATAAGAGAAGATGGACAGTGCTTCCTGAGTACAGGTGCTGGTCAGTTGCCAGCTTACACAGTCCACATAAGTGGTGGTGATTTCTTCAAAGGTTGTAGACCCTGAAATCCAGGGACTTTGTCAACAGCTGTCAGAGGTCTTAGCCACTATAGCTGCCTGTCAGTCGTCTGTCTTCTTTTTCCCATGCATGATGCTTTAAAAATAAAAGAACAAATAGAAAAACCTTATTTTAGAAGGTATTCCAGCCATCTAGGATCTAGTCTAGTTGCTTCTGCCCCTGGTTGAGAAAAATATCAGTTAAAATGGCAAATGTGGAATAAATTATCTTTTCAGGAATGCACATACGTAACTTGTGTCTTTCTCTGACCCTGCCTTTTCTTTATTAAATGCAGGGGAGACAGCAAGAAGGCAGCAAGTCCCCACCTCCCCGCCAGCCTCGGAAAACAGCAGTGCTGCTCACAGCATCGGCAGCACACAGAGCACGCCTTGCTCCAGCAGCAGCACAGCCTAGCCCAGCACAGCCCAGCCCAACCCAGCTACTGCCAAGGGCGGGACCAGTGTGAGCCTCATGTCCAGACTTGGATGGCTGGATTTTGTTTCCCTTCTAAAGACAGAGTGAATTTCGGTATAAAGATCACCCATTGTATTCGCCCCACACCCAGGGCTAATATAAACATGACCCTGGACTTCTGAACCACACTAGAATTCATGTGAGAAAGCTAAAATGGTGGTGTTCTCCACCAGCCCCCTCACAGGCTTGGGGGTTTTCAATGTGAAACACATGCCAGTTTTTAAAATGCTGCTTTGTCCAGATGAGAACATCCGTAATTTGGGGCCCTGAGTTTGACCCAGACTCAAGGAGTTGGTAAAGGGATAATAGCCAAATAGTAGAACTAGTGAGGAGATGCGGCCAAATATTCTTTATATCTGAACCAAGATGTAAAACCTAAGAAATGCTTTGAGGCTTTCAAAGCATTCCTCCTAATTTGCACCTTCATCTGGATGCACACTTCTGACTTTGCTGCCACACCCTGTGGGGTCTGATGTGTCCCTTGATGGGTGCTGCCCTCAGGGACTGTACCCTGACAAGTGTCAAGGCAACATTCCTTTCTTGTTCCCTGGGCCAAAACCAATGCTGATGACCTTACTAGCTTCCTGTTTCTTCTCCTACTTGCATATGCCACTGCAAAATGTCTTAATGCAAACTTTGTATTTCTTATAGGCCTACAGAAATTGAAAATGACCAAAATCAGGAACCACAGATATGTGCCCATTCTTAATATTTTGTTCTGATAAAATAACCTATAAATTAAGGTGAAATTCAGTTATAAAGTCAAGGAGAAATTTGCACAATTATATATTTGTATGTGTATGCAAGTACAAGTATATAATATGTCATCTGGCACATTCATTTTCTCAGTTGAAGAAGAGAAAATTCATTCCCCTTTTGAAAATGCCCTTATGCTTTTAGAGTTGCAACTTATTCTTAAGTATATTTGCTAGGGTGACTGTTCCACTCAAAACATGTCAACTAAAAAGAAAATCGGCCTTTTTATAAAAAACAAACTCTAGCGAGATGCAAAAGCACGGCAGATGCTATTGCTCTCCAGTTGGTTATCTGAATAGTGTCGCCAGTTCTCCCCAAGACAGTGCTAGATTGGAAAAGGGCACTCATTTGGATTGCCTTACTTCTCTTGCCTTAAATGTATCCCAAAATCAAAAAACACTTGAGGTGAATTTAATTAAATGGAATAATATGATGCTACTTTGCAGCTAAAATAAGCTCAATGATACCTTTATGTTTAAAAGAAAAATGCCAGAAAGGAATTTTCATGCTAAATTATTTTACTGCTGAAGATGATAGCTTCATTGCAAATTATTTTTCCAGAATTCCCCCAAACAACCTAGAATTCCATAAGTAGAATAAGTTAGATTCTACCCCCAAAATATTCATAAGCAAATCCCACTGCCCTTAAAATAAGGAAGTTATGCCTGGTTGTCTGTGAATGGAACCTCAGTAGGAAATGTTGATGAAGCTCAAAACCTTAGGGCAGTGTCTATGTGGCAAACAAATAGGTGGAAATTGACCATCATTTTTACCAAATCGTTGAGTAATAACTGACTAACTTGATAGATGTAGGCATTCAATAAGGAAAATTTTAACCAAAACAGATCAGGGCTGAGATTTCCAGGCTATCTACATTGATCCACTGAAAAACTTCCAGATTTCCACATACAAACAAAGACATGAGTTTAGAGAATTTTTTTCCTTTTTTCTTTTTTTGAACATAAGGGTATCAGAGTAGAGGACCTAGATTATGCTACCTGTGTTTGGAAATAATGTGCTTCGCCTAACCTGCAGCAGAATGTATTGTTTTAGCATATTCTATGTATAAAAAACTTTAAAGATGTCTTCAAAGAAGACTAGAGTCTTTAAGTCACATATAGCTATATTTTACTACAAAATTTGTGTATAAAGATATATTTAAGTGTTTCAGATAAATTTAAGTTACTCCATATGAAATGTTTAATTTCAGCTACTGTGAATTCTTTTGATCAGTCCTTTGCTTTTTTTAAAAAAACCCTTTCCATCTTGTTAAAAAGGAAATTAGCTATTAGGAGATATTAAAAGATTGATGTCTTAGAAGGACAAGGTTAAAACCTTCTGTAATATATTTAAATATATATTTTCAAGAGAGATGCTGCATTGCCAATGATTTTATAAATAATTTTAAATCAATTTACAAATTTATAGATGCAAACCAAAAGATTTGTTTTAAAGAGAGAGGAAAAAAAAAATCACCTTTTATTTGTTTGGGTCTCATTGTCAGAAGTATTATTCAGATCAAGAAATCTGTGTCGATAAAACCTAATCTCATATTGGAGAGTGAATGTCATCAAGTATTTCTGAGATGTTTCTTAAAAATGAACATTTAAAAATAAGGTATTTTCTCCCTAGCTTCTCATTACGGTATTCCTAATTACTTCACACTTTCCAGGTTCAATACAAAGTACAAGCTCTGCTTTTATAACATGTTTCACAGTTTCTTTAAAAGTATTGTTTATTTCAGCTGAACTCTTCTATCTGCAGTCTTGTTATTTCTGCAGGCTACACCCTTAATTTGCAGAGGCCATTTTGTTTTGTTTGATGCTGAAGCTATTTGCCCTAAGCTCCAAGGCCGATTGTCTGTATACTGTGCTATGGCTCTTCACCATGTGGTGTTTACCAGCTATTACTCTATATTTTAAAAGGCCAGAGATTTCTTCTGTCTAAATTGTTTCTATAGCATTTTCTAAACAAACAAACAAAAAATGGTATTTTCCTTGTCTTGTAATAAGATTGTAAATCAATTTTCTGCGTGTGTTTTTAGTGGGCATGGTTGTGAGTGTGTGTGGGTGCACACACGCGTGTGTCTTTTTGTATTGTAACTACCTCATGGTTTGAATGATGTTTGTACTGCTGGTTGTGTTAACAGAGCACATTTTGTTGGGTGAGTCCTATGTGATTTTTTTCATGTTTGTTTTATCTGGGGATTGTTCACGAAACTGACAGATGTTTTTCTAAAACTACTATTATCAGTTTCCAAATACAATACTTCTCTCTTCTGGTTTTTCCTGAATGAGCCTGATTTTGTTGCTGGTTTTCATCATCTATGAGGGTAGAAAAAGTACCCTTAAAATCCCTGTGGCCAGTTTGAACACCCCTGTTGTATTCTTTTCTCTGTTCGTTGTGTCAGCTATTTTGTGAACCTGCTTAGATGTATAGTTTTGATAACCACAATTTTAAGTCTTTTTCTGTGCATAATAAAAAGATATATATCAATTATTAATATGTGTCTTGTTTGGTCATTGAATTCTACCTGCAAGCTGATGTAACTTTTTTCACTGTGACTTTCTCCTAAATGTATCATCTGTTCCAACTGTGTTGATGAAGAAGAGAGAGGAGAAAGGCTAAGAGGTCCAGAGCAGAGGGAAGGATGGACAGCCCAGTAGAAGAGTGCAGCAGGAGCTGTCACTCTTCTCAGAAAAACATGGTAGGAGACTTGGAAGTGCGTGTCTCGCCCTGGAATCCATTCCTGGGCCTTCTGTCAACCTCCCAGAATCAAAGAAAGAAAAATAATACATATTTAGGGTCTACTATTTTCATCTTCAAATATCCCAGTGCTGCTTCCAGCGTTCCATATCTCCATATGGTACCACTGTCTTCCATTCGCTCAAGCCAGAAACCTGAGAATCTAACTAGAGCCTCTTTGGCTCCCCTCTCCCCAAATCAGTAAGTCCAAGTGCTATTCTACCTCTAGAATGTCTCTTTCTTCAAACCACTGACTTATTCCTACTCCGACTATTGTACACTACTCAAGAGTCATTATCTCCAGTCACTCCAGCAGTCTCCTAACTAGTATGCCAACTTCCCATCTTGCTCCCTTCAATTCCTTCTCTACCATGCAGCCAAAGTATCCTAAAAAGACTCAGTTTTGAGGTCTTTAAGTAATTTCCCCATTTGCCTTCAGCATGAAGTTCAGATTCCTAAGCATGGTTCTGAGGAGGCTAATCTGCCTGCCTTTCCAGCTACTTCTCTCATCTCTCCAGGGCTCAGTTCTATTTTGCATCCTTACCCCAAATTTGTAATGAAAACAGTTCTCGTTCAGTATCAAATATTACATTATAACATTGAATATGCATTTACAAATTGCATTCCCCTTTTGAAATTTTTAGTGGCTTAAATGATTCAGCATCAAGGCCATCAGCCCATCCCTCACATTTTACACAGGTTGGTACCCACAAAACAGGAACAGTCTATGGTGCCCCCTGCAACCAGCTGCTCTTAGGATATATGGGAAGAATTGGCAGGTCAATGACTTGTTTTTGCCATTAAACTCTCCTTGTATCTACTGGAGCAAAAACCTAGGTGATTAATGGCTTCAGAGAGTCTATGAAGTGTCTGGAATTGTATGCAAGATTTTATTGCAGATGTTTCTCAGCTGTTGTTTTTGGTGAGAGTCCATAGATTTTTTTGTAAGAAAAATTATCTTTCTTGTTCAGACAATATATATGTATAAAATCAACACAAAGAATACAGACATGTAGCAATGAAAAGGCCTCCATAATCCTCCAACTTGAATATAAGAATGCTGATTTAGTATATGTGTCCCCAGATATTTCCTTAATTCCTATCAACATGTCCATGACGTTAAAATAATATTGGATTTACGTTCCTTGTTAGTTGTAGTCCTAGGTATTTTATTCTCTTTGTAGCAATTGTGAATGGCAGTTCATTCTTGATTTGGCTCTTTTTAAGTCTGTTATTGGTGTATAGGAATTCTTGTGATTTTTGCACATTGATTTTGTATCCTGAGACTGCTGAAGTTGCTTATCAGTTTCAGGAGATTTTGGGCTGAGACAATGGGGTCTTCTAGATATACAATCATGTCATCTGCAAATAGAGACAATTTGACTTCCTCCTTTCCTGTTTGAATACCCTTTATTTCTTTTTCTTGCCTGATTGCTCTGGCTAGAACTTCCAGTACTATATCAAATAGGAGTGATGAGACTGGTACCAAAACAGAGATACAGACCAATGGAACAGAACAGAGGCCTCAAAGGCAACACAACATATCTACAACCATCTGATCTTTGACAAACCTGACAAAAACAAGCAATGGTGAAAGGATTCCCTGTTTAATAAATGGTGTTGGGAAAACTGGCTAGCTATGTGCAGAAAGCAGAAACTGGACCCCTTCCTGACACCTTACACTAAAGTTAACTCCAGATGGATTAAAGACTTAAACATAAGACCTAACACCATAGAAACCCTAGAAGAAAACCTAGGCAAAACCATTCAGGACATAGGCATAGGCAAGGACTTCATGACCAAATCACCAAAAGCATTGGCAACAAAAGCCAAACTAGACATGGGACCTAATCAAACTGCACAGCTTCTGCACAGCCAAAGAAACAATCATTAGAGTGAATCAGCAGTCAACAGAATGGGAAAAAATTTTTGCAGTTTACCCATCTGACAAAGGGCTGATATCCAGAATTTACAAAGAACTCAAACAGATTTACAAGAAAAAAACAAACAAGCCCATTCAAAAGTAGGCAAAGGATATAAACAGACACTTTACAAAAGAAGACATACATGAGGCCAACAAACATATTAAAAAGTTCTCATTATCACTGGTCATTAGAGAAACGCAAATCAAAACTACATTGAGATACCATCTCACTCCAGTTAGAATGGCGATCATTAAAAAATCTGGAGACAACAGATGCTGGAGAGGATGTGGAGAAACAGGGACACTTTTACACTGCTGGTGGGAGTGTAAATTAGTTCAACCATTGTGGAAGACAGTGTGGCAATTCCTCAAGGACCTAGAAATAGAAATTCCATTTGACCAAGCAATCCCATTACTGGGTATGTATCCAAAGGATTATAAATTGTTCTACTATAAGGACACATGCACACGAATGTTCACTGCAGCACTGTTTACAATATCAAAGACCTGGAACCAACCCAAATGCCCATCAATGATAGACTGGACAGGGAAAATGTGGCACATATACACCATGGAATATTATGCAGCAATCAAAAAAGATGAGTTCGTGTCCTTTGTAGGGACATGGATGAACCTGGAGACCAACATTCTCAGCAAACTGACACAAGAACAGAACATGAAATACCGCATGTTCTTACTCATAGGCTGGTGTTGAACAATGAGAACACATGGACACAGGGAGGGGAGCACTACACCCTGGGATCTGTTGGGGAAATAGGGGAGGGACAGCAGGGGGTGGGAGTTGGGGAGAGAGAGCATGGGGAGAAATGTCATATAGGTGAAGGGGAGGAAGGCAGCAAATCACACTGCCATGTGTGTACCTATGCAACTATCTTGCATGTTCTTCACATGTACCCCAAAACCTAAAATGCAATTTAAAAAAAAGATTGGATTATGGCCAGGTGCAGTGGCTCATGCCTGTAATCCCAGCACTTTGGGAGGCTGAAGTGGGCAAATCACTTGAGATCAGGAGTTCCAGCCAAACTGGCCAACATAGTAAAACCCTGTCTTCACTAAAAATATACAAATTATGGGCACGGGGTGGCACATACCTGTAATCCAGCTACTTAGAAGGCTGAGGCAGGAGAATCTTTGAATCCAGGAGGTGGAGTTTGCAGTGAGCTGAGATTACACCATTGCACTCCAGTCTGGGAGACGGAGCAAGGCCCTGTTTAAAAATTAAAATTAAAATTGGATTATAACAGTTATGACTCCTTCCTTTCTTTTCTTTCTTTCTTTCTCTCTCTCTCTCTTCTTTCTTTCTTTGTTCAGGGTCTCATTCTGTCACCGAAGGCTAATTTTTATATTTTTAGTAGAGATGTGGTTTCACCATGTTGGCCAGGCTGATCTCAAACTCCTGACCTCAAGTGATTCACACACCTTGGCTTCACAAAGTGCTGGGATTACAGGTGTCAACACCACACCCAGCCCGAGACTTGCTTTTTACATATGACATATCTTTCTCAGGCCTCCCAAGATAAGTGCTAATCATCACTTTCTTAACAGGCTTAGCTTAAATTGCCCAAATTAAAACATGGTTCTTATAGAAAGTGAAATACAAAGATATTTGTTAAACACTACCCTTCCTACACGCTCCAGTCACTCGCCTGGAGGAGCTGATGCTAACAGCCTTTTTTCAAACTCAAGCATATTCAAACGTATTCATGAATATAGAAGTTTTCCTTTAGTTTACTAAAAATGGGACCAAAATATACATACATACATACACTGCAGTCCAGCCTGGGTGACAGAACGAGACAGTCTCAAATAAAAACAAACAAACAGAAAAAGACAAGAAAAAGAATATTGGAAGATTAGACTTGAAAAATAATGAAAATACTACATTCAGACATGCAGCTAAAGTAGGTAATTGGTGAGAAATTTAAATTGCTCTAAGTTGTAAATTAGAAAAACATTGAAAATGTAAGAGTATCCAACATGGCAAGTTTTTTATTTCTTTAAAAGACTATTAGAGATAGACGAAAATTAAGTAAAAGTAAACACATGCATTAGAAATGAAAAAAAGACACAACAGATATAGAAGAAATTTTAATGAATAAGGGATCATTATCAACATTTATTTTAATAAATTAGAAACCAGACAACATGTGCGATGTGTCAGAAACAGTCACAGTTCTGCTGGGTAAACAAAAACCACTCTAAGCATTTCAACAGAGAGAAATTAACATGAGGATTTGGTTTAGCAGATGCTGAAGGGCTGAAAAGGTGAAGAGAGATGTCTGAGAGTCCAGGGCAGGGATTATCGGAACACGAAGTTGAGCATGGCTTGCACAGTCTGAGTGCTAGCATCCCCAGGCAGATAGGGAACAGGGAGGCAAACACTTAGTGGAGGGTACTGATGACTTCCTAGGTAAAATGTAGTTTTGCAAAACTATTTCAAGAAACAATAAAAACAAAATAAATCGTTAATAAGTCTTTTTTCTCTAAATTTAAGTAAAGATCTAAGAGTACAAGAGACTTATGGGAAAAACAAAAAGTAAAAAACAAAGAGTAAAACCTAAATTAAAATCTCACAACAAAACAGAATACAAAATTTAACACAAATAAAAAAACCACTACCAAACTCAACTGGTTTTACAGGAAAATTCTACCAAGTACTCAAAGAACAGGAGGAAGGAGGATCCAAGATGGCCAAATAGGAACGGCTCCAGAGTGCAGTTCCCAGCAAGAACAATGCAGAGAGTGAGTGCCCACCACATTTCCAAACAAATTTTCACTGCCCACAGACCAGGAGATTCCCAGGCCAAAAAGTGCCACAAGTTTTTAGCACAGCAGTTTCAGTTGGTGCCAGGTTGGTGCACAGAAACTCACACAAATCCGGGTGGCTGTTTCAACTGGCACCTGGAATGCCTGGGAGACAGAGCTGCCCATTCAACTGAAAGGGAGGGGACAGAGACAGGGAGCCAGATCATCTGGCTCGATGGGTACCACCCACACAAAACAATCCTCTGGATTGAGAGTTTCACAGCAAGCACAGCTGGACCCAGGATGGTCCAACTCAGTGTGCAGAAGGGCGACCACCACTACCGAGGCAGTTCACACAGCAGCTGGGCAGAGCCTGCGGCAGCTCAGCAATACCTCTGCTGGCAGACTGTGACTAGACTACTCCATGCAGGGCAGGGCATCTATGGAAAAGATGGCAGCAGCATGACAGGAACTTATAAATAAAGCCTACCTTCCTAGGACAGAGCACCTGGGAAAAGCACTTATGAGTACTGCTGCAGCAGACGTAAAAGTACCTGCCCAGCAGCTCTGCACAGAATGACAGAGCTCCAAGTATAGCACTTGAGCTCCTATAAGGGACAGACTGTCTCAAGCAGGTCCCCAACACCCGTATACCCAGAGACACCTCATAAAAGAGAGCTCAATCCGCTATCTGGCAGGTAACCTTCTGGGATGAAGATAACAGAAGAAACTGGCAGCAACCCTTGCTGTTCTGCAGCCCCCAAAGTTGATCCCCAGGCAAGCAGGGTCTAGAGTGGACCTCCAGCAGTCCTGCAGCAGAGGGGCCTAACTGTTAGAAGGAAAACTAAGAAACAAAAAGAAATAACTTCATCAAAGAGGACATCCACTCAGAGACCCCATCCGAAAGTCACCAACTACAAAGACCACAGGTAGATACAAGATGGGAAGAAACCAGTGCAAAAAGGGTGAAAACACCCAAAACCAGAATGTCTCTCCTCCTCCAAGGGATCACAACTCCTCACCAGCTAGGAATACAAGATGGATGGAGAATGAGTCTAATGAATTGACAGAAACAGGGCTAGAAGAACATATGCTAACCCAACGTAAAGCAACTAAGAACCTTGAAAAGGGGTTTGATGAAATGCTAATGAGAATAAACAGCTTAGAGAAGAATATAAATGACTTGATGGAGCTGAGAAACACAGCACGAGAACTTCAGGAAGCATACCCAAGTTTCAATAGCCAAATTGACCAAGCAGAAGAAAGGATATCAGGACTGAAGATCAACTCAATGAAATAAAACAAGAAGGCAAGAATAGAGAAAAAAGAGTGAAAAGAAATGAACAAAGCCTCCAACAAATATGGGATTATGTGAAAAGATCTAATCTACATTTGATAGACTGTGATGGAGAATGTGACGGAGAGAATGAATCTGAGCTGGAAAACACTCTTCAGGATATTATCCAGGAGAACTTCCCCAATCTAGCAAGCCAGGCCACCATTCAGATCCAGGAAATACAGAGAACACCACAAAGATAGCCCTCAAGAAAAGCATCCCCAAGACACATAATCGTCAGATTCACCAGGGTTGAAACAAAGGAAAAAATGCTAAGAGCGGCCAGAGAGAAAGGTTGGGTTACCCACAAAGGGAAGCCCATCAGACTCACAGTGGATCTCTCCGCAGAAACCCTACAAGCCAGAAGAGAGTGGGGGCCAATATTCAACATCCTTAAAGAAAATAACTTTCAATATAGAATTTCAAATCCAGCCAAACTAAGCTTTATAAGCGAAGAAGAAGGAAAATCCTTTATGGACAAGCAATTGCTGAGAGATTTTGTCACCACCAGGCCTGCCTAACAAGAGGTCCTGAAAGAAGAACTAAACGAGGAAAGGAACAACCAGTACCAGCCATTCCAAAGACGTACCAAATAGTAAAGATCATTGACTCAATGAAAAATAATGCATCAACTAATGGGCAAAACATCCAGCTAGCATCAAAATGGCAGGGAACAAATTCACAAATAACAATATTAATGTAAATGAGCTAAATGCCCCAATCAAAAGACAAGAATGGAAAATTGGATAAAAAGTCAAAACCTGTCAGTGTGCTGTATCCAGGGAACCCATCTCACATGCAAAGATATGCATAGGCTCAAAATAAAGGGATGGCAGAAGATTTACCAAGCAAATGGAGAGCAAAAAGAAGCAGGAGTTGCAATCTGAGCCTCTGATAAAATGGACTTTAAACCAACAAAGATCAAACGAGACAAAAAAGGGAATTACATAACGGTAAAAGGATTGATGCATCAAGAAGACCTAGAGATTCTAAATATATACACACCCAATACAGGAGCACCCAGATACACAAAGCAAGTTCCTAACAACTGAAAAAGAGACTTAGACTCCCACAGAATAACAGTGGAAGACTTTAACACTCCACTGTAATATTAGACAGATCAACCAGACAGAAAATTAACAAGGATATTAAGGACTTGAACTCAGATCTGGAACAAGGAAGCCTAATAGACATTTACAGAACTCTCCACCCCAAATCCACAGAATATACATTCTTCTCAGCACCACGTCATACCTACTCTAAAGTGGGCCACATAATTGGAAGTAAATCACTCCTCAGCAAATGCAAAAAAATGAAAATCATAACAGTCTCTCAGATCACAGGGAAATCACATTAGAATTCAGGATTAAGAAACAAATTCAGAACCACACAGCTTCATGGAAACTGAACAACTGGCTCTTGAATCTTTTTACTGGATAAACAATGAAATGAAGGCAGAAATAAAGATATTCTTCAAAACTAATGAGAACAAAGACAAGACATACCAAAATATCTGGGACACATTTAAATCAGTGTCTAGAGGAAAATTTATAGCAATAAATGCCCACATGAGAAGCAAGGAAAAATCTAAAATCAACATCCTTTCAACATCATTGAAAGAGCTAGAGGAGCAAGGTCAAAAAAACTCAAAAGCTAGCAGAAGACAAGAAATAACTAAGATCAGAGCAGAAATGAAGGAGATAGAGACACCAAAAAAACTTCAAAAAATTAATAAATCCAGGAGCTGGTTTTTTGAAAAGATCAACAAAATAGACCACTAGCAAGATTAATAAAAAAGAAAAGAGAGAAAAGTCAAATAGATGCAATAAAAAACGATAAAGGGGATATCACCACAGATTCCACAGAAATGCAAACTACAATCAGAGATTACAACAAACAACTCTATGCACATAAACCAGTAAACCTGAAAGAAATGGATAAATTCCTGGACACTTGCACCCTCTCAAGCCTAAACAAGGAAGAAGTTGAAACCCTGAACCAATAACAAGGGCTGAAGTTGAGGCAGCAATTAATAGCCTACCAACCAAAAAAGCCCAGGTCCACATGGGTTCACAGCCAAATTCTACCAGACATACAAAGAGGAGCTGATACCATTCCTTCTGAAA